AACCTTGCCATGCAAACCCAACACACTCCCTGAGCAGCTCACCAGAACAGGTGGTCCGATGCGTGTTATCTCCTCTTGAGTGCACAGGCACTTGTCCTGTTTCTACAGAATGAACCAATGCCAGGCCACCAGTTCCTTACTGCTTTATAGAGCTGACACGTTCAGTAATCAGTAACCCTGGCACTGATGGCATGTCACACCCCACACAGTACAAGTGTTTCATGGGGTGCCACCCCCTTCATCACTGCAGCAGAAAATGCCCGGCTGCCCTGGCTTTGAACACTTAGGCACCAGCACCCGCACCTCTGTCAGAAGCCAGGGGTGGGCTGTGAGGGCCATCAGGCAGGTGCAGACAGGGCTGTTCTGTGTTGAGAGGCCAGGCTGCCACAGCAAGCCTCCGGGGAGGGGCTGGCTCTGGCCTGTGCCAGGCTTGCAGGGCCCATCCTGCCCTCAGGGCCTGGTAGGTGCCTTTGAGGCACTCTCACCACACCCTGCTGGTGACAGGGCAGGCCCTGGACAGCTAGCTGCAAGGCAGAGGCAGGCCTGGGGCAATGTGGCACCGTGGGCTGAGCAAGAGTGACCCACACAGTGGGCAAGCCAAACCTGGTGCAGCAGGAGCACAGCACAGAGACTGGCAGTCAGAATGTTTATTAATAAAAAAAAGTCACAATAACTTACTCCATCACACAAAGGGCTTGATATAAAGAGCTCTGGCCTCCCAAGGTAACAAAGGTAAGCGAGAGGTGGGTGCTTTTCTCTTGCCCTCAGAGACAGCAGCCTTCTGCTGTCCCCAAGGGGAAGTGCAGCCAGCACAGGAGCTACTGGCCATGTGGGGCCTGGGCCATGGGGCCTTGCACACAAGCAGCCATGTACCCCTGCCTGCAGCTGGTTCACAGGCAACACAGACCAACACAGGGTGCAAACGCAGAGTATATGGAGACCACAGGCACTGGATGCCAGAGGGCGTGCAAGCCACAGTAGAGGAGGAGAGAGAAGTGGCTGCTTCTTCCCATAGTGCGGAGGGGTCTGTGGAGCACAAAAAGTGGAGCAGCACAACAGCAGCTGCTTGCAGGCAGGAAGGATGTGGGGCTGGCTGGAAGCAGCCCTGCCTGGCTGCTGCCTCACATAAGGTCTAGCCTGGCAGAGGCAGGAGGCCAGCTGTGGCTACTTGTCACACTCCAGATCCTGGGCCCCCTCAGCACCCTGGTAGTGCATCTCACAGAACTCCTGAATACGACTGCAGGCCTCCAAGATCATCTCCTCAGGCACAGTGATCACCACGCGGAAGAAGTTTGGGTACTCAAAGCACTGAAATGAGAAAGGATGAAATGGCAGATTACCTGGGATAGCGCTGTAGTTTCAGAGCCCTGCCTTGGGGCCACGTGCTGTGTCAGCAAGTGAAAATGGTCAATGTAGGACAAGACCAGAAGACAGCAGGGCTCTTGTTCCCTTAGAATGTTTTTTCTGTTCTAAGCAAGTCTCCCATCTCCATCTGTGTAGGCATGATGCTGGGAGGGTGACAGGCCAAAGGACTCCATATGGACTACATGGGACTCAGGGAATTGGCTGGAAGGAGCTAAGGAAGGAGAGGGCTGGAGAATATCCAAGGCCCTGTCTGTATTCAATGCTGGAAGTGGAGCTGGAAGGAGGTGGGCACAGGGCACAGATATTCTCAGACTGTAGTCTGTTCCTGTGCCTACAGGGGTGAGGGACTGGAAACAGGGCAGAGAAAGGAACATAGGTGGTAGCAGTTACAGGCCTCTGAGGGAACAGCAAGGAGATGTGGCGGTACATGGGGTTCAGGGATACAGCTCTGCCAACTTGAGAAATACAGAGCAAGCCTGGAGCTGGGAAGATCCTGGCAGCCTGACTGAGGGCTGTTAGTGAGCCAGAGACTGCCAGTCCCCATCCCTACACACTGCACTTGAAGCTCACGGCCAGCACATACGCACCATTACAGACCATGGACACTGCACACACAACTCCCAACCTGTCCCCAGAGCTCAGGGCTGCAAACCCTTGTTGCTTCTCTCCCCACGCTTTGGCCTCACAGCTCTCTGAGGCTCTCAGTGTTAGGCTTACCGTGGCTGGCAAGCAGAACACAGACTGCTCAGAGATGAGTCGCTCAGTGAACTCCACATCATTTTCAAACTCAGGGAAATGCTCCATTTCAATCTCAACCTGCAGCAGAGGGATTTAACATGGCAACCAAGGGCACCAAAACCATATGCAGTGTCCCTGCTTACCCAGGCTCAACAACTTTCCAGTCAGCTGCAGCTGTCTGCCCTCAATTTTTGTTCATGATTTGGGCTGACTGGAATGTAAGACACAAACAGAAATAAAGAAGCCTCAATTTTCATTTATATAAGAAGCATTCATTAGCTATCTAAAGCTAGAATTTCAATTAAGGACAACTTTAGTAAAAAAACTGATGGCAAAGATATAGTAACCAATTAGGAGTGAAAAGGAATAAATAAGATATTGAAAAAGAGCTTGGGAGAGAACTCTAGCCAATATGCATTAATAATTCTATCACGCAATAAATCCATATGGCAAGAAAAAAATTAATGTTTTGGTTTAAAAAAAAAAAAAAAGATAGCAAGGTCTAGAATATCACCTAAAAAAAAAATCCTTGCTGGATGATATAATTGGTAAAATGCTGAAACACTCAAATATTACTGTTTTGTATTCGGAAGGGAGATGACTATCCCTTTATCACATAAAGACAGTGATATCCTGGCCATTTGTTTATAACAAAAGCTTATTTTAAATATCTCATGAAAATATTCTTAAACAAACCAGTTGAGAGATAATTAGCATGCAGAAGTTCTGAAAGAGCTAGTGGAAGAAAAATTTTACCAGATGATTTAATTTGAAATAAAAGTTCAGATATTGCAGAAAAACAACAGGTATAAAAGAATTTTAGAGCTGTGCCTCTACACAAAGAGCATAAACAGAATGACCTGTGTAGCTCTGGGTAAGATTTGAAACAGGGTCAACTGATAAAGACTTATCTATAGAACATGAGTGAGACTGATATTGCAGTATTAGCCAGTTCTGGGTTCACATTTTTAAAAGCTGATGAAAAACTGGAGACTCTATGAGACAAAAAGGAAAAAAAAAGAAGACTAAAAATTTGTTAAACTTAAGAGAATTAAATGTCTCAATTGAGCTTGTTGAGATGAACAAGGAAATTTCACTATCTCATAAAAAGTTTAAAAAAAACCCAACAACAAAACACAGGCATGGAAAAAGGCAGAAAGAGGCAACAGCATAGGCAGGAGACAGACATGCTAGTAGGAAGAAGGCTACATCTTCAACAGGAGGTATGCCAATCTTTTTTGTGATGTAGGGGCTTCCCATTGCCAGCAGGCTTCAAATCCAGGTAGACCAACACTGTCTCGCAAAGTACAAGTCATTGAGTTACATGCGGGAGCAAGTGGGTGAAATGTACTAGTGTCTGCTACGTGAGAGGTGATCAATATATTCTGGCCTTCTGAAGTGACCAAAGGATGTGTCTACCACACAGGGCAATGTGAAAATGCATGGTAATGGAGACCTGCTGCCAAGCACCAATCTGAAAACATTGACAAGCACTAGTAACGAGACCTAGTGTGAATGTTGATGATCTGGAAATGGCGTGTCACTCTCCTCGCTTACCATGAGGTACATGGCTCCGGCAGGCCGGACAGGCTGGAGGCCAGGGATAGCTGATAAGGCAGCATAACAAAGGTCAGCGTTGGACTGAAAAGCAAAAAGGAGAAATTTCAAAACAAGAGAAATTCCAGGAAGCAGCTCAGCAAATGGAAGCCAAGCTCTGGACCAGGACTATAAACAGGTTTGCCCACTGCAAATAAAGGGACAACAAATGCAAACAGTGTGGGTAATCATGGCCTTGAGTACAGCAGGTGTGACTGAGCTGAGCTCAGTGCCATCCTCTGGGTCACCAACTGCAGGGCTGGGCTGCCTGAAACTTATCACAGCCAGTATTTCTGCCCCAGTTACCATTTCTCCTGCTGGAATTGGATTTGTTGGGCTCTCCTATTCACAGACAGATCTGTACCTTGAAGCGGGTTTGGGAGGGATGATGAGCTAGAGACTACAAACATGAACAAACTGCTGATCTGTTACAGCCTGTTTACCTTTAGGATGCTGAGGGTGTTGTGGTAGAACTCAGGGGGTGTTCGGTGCAAGATACGTTCCAGTGCTCCTTGGACAATTGTACAGGGTCCTAGGATCCTTTGACTCAGTCTTAGAAGGCCATCCCTGATCTGAAAAAAAAAAACCAAAAAAAACCAAAACCCAACAAAACTGTAGTGATATTTGCAGCTCTGAGTGTGCTTCCCTGAAGAAAAGGGACAGCTCCAAGGCCTACTCTGTATTTCTACAGCTGTTCACACCCCTCCTCAGTGAGCATACAGAGTACTAAAGAACACTTGCTTGACTATATGCCAGATATTTGCAGACTATTTAAAGTGTCATTCTCTGTTCCTCAGTTGCAGATTGTAATGTCAACAGAGACAACCTTTGGAGTTTCCCAATCTGACTGAAACCAGGCTGGAATATAGCTAATACTAATAAAGTCAGAACTGTTCCAACTACCACTTTGCATTTCCCTTAGATTTGTGCCCACAATCCACACTTTCAAAGCCAGGAGGGACAACCAACATTAGCTCTTCCACTCACTCACTTGGTCCTCTCTTCTCCCTCTTCCTCTGCAGAAAGCCCTCTAGTTGGAAAGGTCACTGCAGTAGATGGTTGTTCTTGTAACACAGCTGAACAAATAGCCAGATAAAGCACTAGCAGCACTGCTTTGTACTTACTTTTAAGAGAAAACATGTAAGAGCACATAAAGACCACACATGAACTCCACATGCTGGATAAGCCATGCAATACCTTCAGTGCACACAGGAGCTATTTGAGAAGAGAAGGCATTAGAAGCACACAAAAAGGACAAGGCATGTATGAAAGAGCAGCAGAGACAAGGAGTGTTTTACAGTGTAGATGTGGATAGAAGGCCATATATTGGAGCAGACAGAGTAAGGAAGGGACATGAAGAGCCTAGAGGTCCAGAAAAGCATGTAAGCAATTGGGTGACACCCATGTGAGAGCAAAAGAGCAGTACATGCCTGTATCAGTCAAAGCCCTGGTAATCCACACACTGAAGATGCTGCAGGTCTATTGCTGTGACAGCAACACTCAGCAGTTCTCACCTCATTACCAAAGATGTCTCTCCTGTCATGAATTAGGATCCAGCCCATCCGCCAACCAGGGACTAGCCACCGCTTTGCCAAGCCACCACAGGACAAGATTGGCACGTTTGTGCTGAGAGTTGCAATGGGTTCATATTTGCAGTCAGCAAACACCTGTGACAGGAGGCTGTGTTTGAGAGCTGTGGGGTGTACATGAGGCACAAGAAGAGGGGAGGCAGGGAAGCAATGGGAAATTGCTGGTGAAAGCTCCCACCTTCAAGGTATGCACCTGGTAAGTGCACTCAAATGAAAGTGAGCCATTTGGGAAGAAGAAAGGAGCTGGACATGACAGGTACCCCCAGGACTGCACACCAGAGGACTGGGAGCTCCAGGCATGGACCCAGGCACAGTATAGGGGAGCAGAGCTGTCGCTCACCTCTGGAGACCTGGCTGCCATGGCGAAAGGGCAAGTGCATCAGAAAGGACAGGCAGCATGGGGGTGCAAAGGACTGCGACTGACACTCACCATGTCTCCATAGATCTCATCAGCAAGGATGGGCACGCACTGTCTTGATGCCACTGTGGGAGAGAGGGCATTCAGCCTGTCCACCTTGCATCCTCCATGGGAGCAGACTTGCCCATTGCTGCAAGGCCTGGCAGGGCTCTGAGGGAAGCTCTGTCCCAGGGCAGAGGGTCCCTATCTTCCTCCTACTGACTGTTCACTTGGAGAGCCCAAGCATTGGAGATCCCTGCCCTGGCTGAGCCTAGTTCTGTGGGGCAGGCAGCATAGCCCTCCCACTGACAGGCCAGGGCTCAGGAAGCATAGGGCTTCCTTGTGAACACTCTCACTCTGCAGAGCTAGAGTGAAGAAATGACCACACAGGTCGTTTGTGGAAGAGCAAGACACACGCTTTGCATGGTGTTGTCCAGATAAGGCAACCCCTTCACACTGAGCAAGCCCTGCTTCCTAAGCTGGAGTCAGTCATGAAGAGAGAAGCAAAGCCCTGGGCCATGATGCTGCAGTGATCAAGACATGGGCAACATGGGCAGAACACTAGACTGCAACCATGCCCCAGATACACACAGGTAGGCTCACCTGCCAGGATCTTCTGGAGGTGGCTCTTGCTGAAAACAGAGCCACAGGGGTTCGATGGGTTGTTCACAATGAGGCAAGCTGTCTTCTCATCCACCAGAGACTCCAAGTGCTTCAAATCAATTTCCCAGGCCTTCTCTGGCTAGTGAAGTAAAGAGAAGGGGAAGTAACAGCTGAGGAACTGGTCACACCTCACCCCGTGTAGCAAGTCAGGGTGTCCAGAGTTGTTCAGGTCATCTTCATCCACTTCCCAGGCCGGGCCAGGGTATTTCTGAGAGGCAGAAATGTCAGGGCTGCCCCTTCCAGGCCTGCCACCACTTACCAAGAGGTTGTAGAGTTTGACCTCAATCCCCATAGACAATGCCAGAGTCTTGTAGAGGGAGAAGCCGGGCCGCGGCACTAGGATGTTCTGGCCTGGGTTGGCCAGCACTGCCAAGGCAAGTTCTATGGCCTGGCTGCAGCCACTTGTTAAGATGACGTCCTGCAAAGAGCACACAGGAGTCAGCAGAAAACACAGCCACTCTGAAGTGCCACAGCCATGTGGGAGTGACATAATGCTCAGGCTCTGCCAGGTGAGAGCTTCTCAGCCAAAGACACAGGTCCAGAGTCTGACTGAAAGCAGGAAACCTCCAACAGCTGGAGAGCTCATCCTCCTCCTGAGGAGTGTGGAGAAGGGCTCAGGGCAAGGGATGAGAGCAGCAGGAGGCCACTGGGGGACAAGGCCATGGGCTAGCCTTCAGTCACACAGCTGGGCAGGGGAGGGAGAGAGCTGGGGCAAGGCCCCCCCCATGCTGTGTGGTCTAGGCATGGGCGGCAGCAGCACCCTGCCTACACTACAGCAGGAGTGCCTCAGCTGGGCACCAGTACCTGGGCCTCCAGTGGTGCCTCTGGGCAGCTGTAGTATGCAGCCACTGCTTCCCGGCAGGACTGGTAGCCTGGGGAAAGAGCAAACATGGAAGGGAGGTTGTTACAGACCATTTCCTTTTTCTTGCCAGTACAAAGCTCACAGCTGCCACCCAGCCAGAGGAAGCCCATTTGTTAGTGACACTGTCCCAAGGTGGCAGAGACTGTCCTGCCTCAGGCCAAGCACTGTGCACCCCGAGGCTAGTCCAGGCAGGCCAAGAGTAGGGATAGACCCTGCTCTGGCCCCAGCATGTCCTGGATACAGAACTGACAGAAGGGTGGAGGGTAGCCAGGGAGCTGTTCTGATGCAGCAGGAGACCAAGTGCTATTACATGGCCTTCACTATTTAGTAACAGGAGCAGCCCTCCCTGTCACCACATGGAATGTCCTGCAACGCAGGTGTTTTCTATGCTCTGTGCACAGTTTTTGCACTAATTGCAAACCAGGCTCATGTTGTCTTTGAAGTCAGGGAGCCCAAGGCGAGTCCTGATCAAGGCAAATCAGAAAGGAACTTGGCTGCAACCCACAGCAGGGAGACACAGTCCTGAGCCCTTCTGGGTACCTGAAACCCTGCCTGTGGTAATGGCTGGGGGAGCAAACACAGCTTCTGCAGGAGGCTCTGAGCCCCAAACAGATCATGCAGAAGTATCTGGGGGATACATGTGCTTGTGTGCTCATGGGACTATTGGTTGAGCGCAGCTGCAGGGCGCTACTGGAAAGATGTCCACGGGCTCCCTATACCTGCTATGGGATAGGAACTGGCACATGCCTTCATCCTACGCTCACAGGAAGAGCTTTGTCAACTTACCAACAGATGGAGCATAACCATTGTAACGTCCTGAGTCCAAAACCTCCTTCACAGCCCGTGTGACCTCATCATTTGTGGGAAGGTTTCCAAAGACTGTCGGGTCTCCTTTTCAAACATTGAAAAACAATAAAGTTCTCACTGATCTGTGACAGGTACAGAGCTGTGTGGTTGTCTGGCCTACCCCTGAGTGTTTGCACAAGCTTTGTGCTTCAGAGCCCTGCAATCTGCCAGCCACACAGTCGACCCCACTGCCCGGAGGCTTCAGCCACAGCACTATGCTCACCTAAGGACAAGGAGATCATAGCTTTCTTTGGGTTAGGCTCCACCTTCATGCTGTCTACGATGGCTCGGACAGGATTGAAAGTCTTCTTTGACATTTCGGAAGCCCTGACAGCCCATCTTGGCTTCCGGCCCTTCACCTTCCCCAGCGATATGGTGTTCCCATTGGTCTTGAGATGAATATCCAGCACAGGGGCATGATCTCCGTGGCCATTCACTTGGATCAGGTATGAGTCCATCCTGAGAGCTGTCAGTGTGAAGTGGATTTCCTGGGCTTAGTTAACACACGCCAGACAAGGGATCTGCCTGTTTGGGGATGCAGCCCATGACTCTCCAAAAGTAAAACTTCTGAAAGCTATAGACCCTACCTACTTAGTGCCTATGGACAACTCAGTCAGCAGCAGCAAGTAGGGCTGTATTCAGGACCAGGATGGAGTGAAACCCCACACATAAGTGAGAGCATAATGCAGTGGAAAAGATAAAGGCACCTCTTTGTGCTACCTGCACTATTGCCTAGCATAGACTTGCTGTGCTGAGGAGAAGCAGGACCGCTGAAGCCATTAGCCGGTAGTTAGCAGCATGTTGTAGTCACTGCTTGACTGCAGATTCAATGCTCCACTAACAGATGGGCCAGGTCACTTGATTCCTCCCCGCCAGCTATCGACTTGCACGCCTCTAGCTGCAACCACAGGGATCAGCCCACTATGTGTGTTCACATCCAGAATGTCCCTCCAGTTTGCAGACAGAAATGCAGCACTGTTTAAATCAAATCGCAGATGCCAAAAAGGTAGTTCTGGTCCAATGTTATCAGGATGCAGTGGCAGGTTATAGACACTTGCCTCTGTCAGCAAAGCAAGAGGGAGCAACAGTCCAGACCAGAGACCCTAGATCAAAAGGAAGTGCTTAAAAAATGGAGCAAGACTGGTACAGCCAAGAGGGAAATCAGGGAGGTAGCACTGCCCCATGCAAAGGGCCTGTAGTCCTGCCCAAGGCTAGGTAACAAACAAGACACACAGCAGAGGAACAGCTGCCTTCTAGGCCCCAAAATGCACGCAGAAGTGACTTACACACCCCAGCATGTATACCCAGAGCACAAGCCAGACCCAGCCACCAAAAGCCTTACTTACGAACTGCTGCTGACTCAGGGCTTTCCACCTGCAGAAGATTAGGGACAGGGCAGGAAGAGACCTCCTGAACCACCAAGCCCATTCTTGCTTGTACTGGCACACTATCTTGTAATTCTGCCATAAACTGCTTATGCTTTCTGTCCTGCCCTATTTTTCTTCTCCACTGAAAGGCAATTCAGTGAACAGTGTCCCTTCTTGATGGTAGTTACTTAGCCCCATGCTCGCAGATATTCACAAAAGTTACCCCTTTGTTGCTGCAGAGACTGAGCTGTAAGGGCTGTAGCATTGCCTGGTTCAGGGAGGATTTGCCACCTGAACAAATTTCTCACTGCTTCAGTGAGGTTTACACCTAGAGATGCCCCATGCTGCTGCAGTTACTCTGCCAGCAGTGCCTCATTAGCCTGTTCATAGCAACTCAGGCTGATCTAACAAGCAAGACTTCAGCTGCTCTGCTGCTAATACCTTCTGGGTCTTCTTTCTATGAAAAGAAAGGTAGCTGAAGAAACATGCAGCAGGGCTGCATAAAAACTGAGAGGAGAAATGAGCCATATATCTCAGTTCAACAGCAGGACTGAGTCCCAAATGCACAGTGCAGCATCTATCCCAGCAGAGCCTTCACACCACCCTGCAACATGGATGTGATGCAAAGGGGAGCTGCAGGCACAGACACAACAGATGCCTTCAATGTAGACAGCCAGGGAAGATCTGCCCACTTCTCCTCCTGAAAGAAGCAAGGTACAAGAGCATAGTACTTTACCTTCTACAGCACAGAGAGGTTAGACACCAACAAGCTTGGGGGTCCAGTCCCTACTTTTCATCCAGGACAAATCCCCTTGAGAAGAAATTCCTGCAAATTCTTGCCCATGAAATAAGCTCCAAAACTGGGCGTTGGGACTGAATCATTTAGCCATTGGCTCACAGAAAGGACTGCTCTCCCCACCCACCCATCCACCTCTCCTCCCCATTGCAACTGTGTTCACTTCAAACACCTGGAACATGCCTGCACATTAACTCTTTCTGGGGCAGCCTAGAGAAGGATACAGCTTGGCATCCTGGAAGCCCTGGGCTGCCACCCTTTTGCACCACTTCCCTCAGTTCTCAAAGACTTTGGGGGGCAAATCTGCACAGAGTCCAGGTATTCCAGCCCTAGCACCTTGTAATGCACCAAGAGTGGACGGATGGACCCCAAAGCCTGTGGAAAGCATCAGTCTATCCTAACCTCAAAGGCTCTGAGCTCCCAGTGCACCAGCTGAGAAAGGACAGTTTGTGGCATCATTACAATCAGGAGACATCTTCCTCCATTGGCTGAAGGGAGGCAGGCACTTCCCTAGCTGGTGTCTTGGAGAGACCAGGACCTTAAGGGTTAAAGGAAGCTCAAGTTGCCATGGGTTGGTTTGGTTGGGCTTTTTCTTTTTTTTTTCTTTTTTTTTTTTGGTTGCTGAAAGGCCCAAGCAAACTCGTAATTTTGGCAGCTGACAGAAATGATGCAATTCTTCCCTCTCTGATGGTACTGCAAAGCACAGATGACACCATTCCCAGAAGGCCCGTTTTTGCTAAGTGATGTGAAATTTATGCCTTCCTGTCCCTTGATTCCTGCAGGCCTAGGATAAATAAGAGAGGCATTTGCACCCTCCCTGTCTTCCAAGAGCTGCTCCAAGTCTTCTCTTGCTGCCTTGGCAGCAAGTGGCTAGAGATCAAAGAGTTGCTAGGGACAAAAGGATCCTGCTAATCTCCTTGCAAACTGACTGCTGACACCTTCATTGCAGAGGCCAGCAGTCACTCCCATTCCTGCGTGGGAGAAGGACCACTTGCGCTCAACCTATGCTCACTACACCACCAGCAATAAGGCTGCACCTCCCCAGGTGCAAGCAGTGGCCTCTCCCCTCAGCGTTGGGGCTGGGCTGACACTGCTGGGGAGTCATGACCTGCCATCGACCACAGTGCTGCAATAGGCACTGCTGAGGCTACAAAGGGAGCCTGGGACTTGGGGCTGGAGGCAGGTTGGGAGGTGGTGGGGTGCAGCCAGCGGGACCAGCCAGGGGCCCCAGCCCCAGACTGGCTGGCAGGTCTCTCACAGCAGCTAGCCCCTGGCGGCTTTGGACAAGGAATAGCACCTTTCAAAAACACTTCACAGAGAAACGTCCTGTATTGAAGCTGCTTGGACTCTCTTCTGCGGAGAGCTGCACAGTTCCAGACTATTTTCTCTCTTTTTCCTGAAGCCTGACATGAGTGACCTTCAGAAGTTCATGCAGGCCCTCTCCAGGCACCTATGCGTTATTTTCTTGCTTCCCCCAGCTGGCCCCATCTCTTGCCATGCTGCAGCCCTGCCAGGGTTACGTGTGGCACTGGGAGGCCTCAAGGACAATGCTGCATGTTCTGCCTAGCAACAACCCCAAAGCTGACGCAACTGGAGCTCTACCTGTAATACTGCACACAGCAGTATTCAGGGGTTCAGGGGAGGGCATGGTGGAAGCCTCCTGCCAAGAGAAGAAAATAATGTGGCTCTGGAGACATAGGTAGACCCAGTTACATAAGGCTGAGAACCTGGCCAGAAGTGGGGGAGGATAGTGGTGTGCAATGGGGTCAGTGGGTTTCTCCTGCTATTACCAGGCCTTTCTCCTCTCTCTGCATGATTCCAGTCCTTCTCTAGATGCTCTCACATGGGGTTTGCCCTCCCCCGCCCTGTGGTGCACTGAGCCTCCCAGGGCTGAACGATGAGCACACAGCTCAGCACTTCATATTCTACAAATATGGCCAAGCCACCCCTTATATGGTGTGGTGAAAGAGGTGGCCATACCCTGCAGGATGCATTTCTGCCAGCAAGGCAGCTGTCTGTCTTGACTGTCAGGACCTCTGTAACCCCAAGAGCCCTGACTAGCCTCCCTCCCTGCAGTTTGCTTCTCTGTCTCAGCAGCTCTCCCTTACTCTGGTACCAGGTACTCCCTGGTACTCCCTTGCTCTGGTACCAGGACTGTCCAGAGTCCCATTTCTATGAATAGAGTTCAAGCCAGCAAGAGCAAGCAGTTCCCTCTTCCAGGACCAGCCACAGTTACAAAGCAGAACTGACAAAAGGCTGCTTTGAGTGGAACACAGGCTCAAGCATCACTGCACTGACAAACCTGTGTCTCTGTCAGGCTGCAGGCAGGACATGCACCAGTAGAGTTTTGCCCATGTGCCCTCCACCCCCATTCAGGGTGCATTGTTCCAGGCACAGACACCTAACTGGTACTCTGCACAAAAATTCACCAGGGTCAGTAACAAATCACTTTACTAGTTACCTCCTCACATTTTGCTCTTATTTTCAGCAATTTCTGCGTGCTCCTTTCTGACATTTGTACAGCCCCAACCAATTCAGGGCTGGTATCCACAAATATGCATGTAGCCTAATCTCTGTTTGGTCTCTGCATTTCCAGTTGAATCAGCTTTTAATAACCAAATATGTGATTTTTCCTTTTTCTTTTTTTAAAATCGATTTATTGTTAATCTCTCATTTAGATGAGCAAAGAGCCATGAAGCCTGCTTGGCTTTCATGAATTTTGTGACTGTTTATTGATTCCCTGTTATATATTCCACTGTTATAAATAAAACATATTTATAACAGTGCAGCAGGTTTCCTGAAACGCAAGGGACAAACCTTGTTTGTTACAGGCCAGGTCACATGGGCACTCTGAAAATGCACATATTCACAGTTAAATCTGCCTTGAGGCGTGGACAGGGCTGCTGTGCCAAACCTACATATATCTGCAGGAGTCTGATCAAACCATGATGATAGTTGTGCCTTCAGCAATCTTAATTGCCCAGCATTCACCTGAAATGGAGCATAGCACCTGTTACCTCTTTGCATAATCAGAGCAGAAAAATCAGCTCCAAAAAAACCTCAGCTAGGTTCTACAAAGCTGTGCAAACATTGTGTTTAAAAGCCAGAAAGATGGCACAATCCACACAGAGTGACTCAAAGCCAATAACCAAGTGACTCAAAAATATACAGCAGCTATTTTATCTATCCGCCTGTACGTAGGATCAATTTTGATCTCAGAAATAAAAATCTGAAAGACATTAAAAGGCAAATTGCACAGTCTAACTAAAGTTGCCGCATTCTGGAAAAGTAGCCTGTGTACAGCAAGTGGTTTGCAGGGCACTCTTGCCACCTATGTGAGCTGGGCTTTAGAAAGGGGAGCACTGGCATCTGGGGGCACGTCTTTTGAAAGTGGAACAAGATGGCTCACACCACACATGAATGCAGGGTGTTGCGGTAGGGACAGCGATACTCTGCCTAAGGTCCTGGCTGAGCTCTCTTCTACAGGCCCTGGGCTAGGCCGAAAACAGCTGCAATTCCCCTCTGTCAAGAAAACTAGGGAATGTAAACACCAAATGCTTTCGTGACCGTGGCATCTTTTGGGCCTCCCACAATACCCGTGTCTGCAAATGCAGTGCTGCAACCTGATACCAGCTGTGCTGGGCAATCCAGGTTGCTCTCCCCAGCCATGGACCATTGCAGCACTTGGGAGGGGAAAGAGTCCAGCAACTATGAGGGCCATTGCATGCTCAGCCTGGCCACTAAGTCCCTTGCAAGCATGCTGAGAGACACAGAATGCACTCCAGGTTCATGGAGATTTGGAAGCACTGGTGAGCTACAGGCCCAACAGTGACAATGAGACTTGCAAGCTGGGTTACAGATGCCAAGAGGAATGCTCCACAAAGCGTGAATGTTAGTGGCTCCTGGGTACAGGCACAGTGAAGAGAAACACCTTGTCCAGCCTTGCGTTTTGCTTACATCCAGGTAAACATTATGTAAGTGCACACACTGTGTTTGAGTTATGACTTCAGAGACTTAAGCTGTTGCATGCTTTGTTGTGGCAACTGCCTTGATGACCTTGAAGCCACAGAGGCAGTGGCCAGCCAATGGGGATGGGATGGAAAGGGGCATGGTGGCTTTGTGGGGCAAGGCAACACATTGAGCTTGCAGTGAGTGGTGTGGGCAGCACCAGCACCTCCTTCTCTCAGAGCACAGACAGGGAAGCCCCTCTCATGACTGAATTTGAGCCCCAGTGATGGAAACGCACCATCTGCCCCACCAATCTGCTCCAGCAACAACTGCTTGTCTCCTTACAAAGTGGTGGAGCTGGTGCGTGTGGGAGAAGTATTGTCTTTTTTGGGGGGGGTGCCTAAATCACATCCCTTTGGTTTCAAGCTAAGCTCACTGCTTCCTGACCATGCCAACAGCAGATAGGGAGAACAAAATATTCCCCTCCTCTTGACACGTTTGCAACTTAAGACACCTCCCTATTAACAAGTTTGTGAGTTGTTAGCAGACACCTGTCCTGTCAAATGAGAGGACTGGGATCAATCTTTTCTCATAGGTTGTATTTCTAGAGCTTTCTTTTGCTTTCCTCTGGATCCCCTCCAGCTGATCCATTTGCCTCTGGAAACACTGTGTGCAAGACTGGAGGCCTAACCAGCACTGAAGGTGGGGGCAGAAGAATTTCTTCATGTGTCCTACATGTGACATTCCTGTTTATACACTCTAGCAATGTTAGTTTTTTTCGCAACAGGATGACATTGTGGACTTGAGTTCAGTTTGCCATTCACAATAACCTCCAGTTCTTTTCTGCAGCACTGCTGCATCGTCATCATGCTGCGCTCATTGTTCCCGTGATTATTTATTTATGTGGGACAGTCAATAAATCTGGCTGTGGTGTTCAGCAGTGATTGTGCTGCAGCTCCCAGCTGCCTCACACTGGAGAAATATGAGGCAGTTCATGACTTGCTCCTTCTACTTTACCCTTCAAGTTCTCAGGGAGG